ACAAAATATTCACAAATTACGTATTGGAGAACATGGGGAAACATATCACAATCCAGTATGTGCAGGAAGCATGAGGCACGGAATCATACAACTTATCACAGATTATATCGTCAGAAATGAATAAAATCGGCATAGGCTTTTTCTTTGGATGATAGTGAATAATCAACATCGAAAGACATCTTGTACATGACAAACCCATAAACAACAATGGGGAGGATTTATTTGACATTTGACCTGCGTTATCGCATTCATCCACATAATATTTTCCTACAGTGGGTTATTTCATGATTTAATCTGTAGTTCTTTATCGTCTGTAGCGCCTCTGGCGACTWTGAAATCAGTCGTTTTCGGTTACGTTTTTAAGTGAGAGTGCCCAGGGCATGACACTGCCCTGGGGGACTCCAGCTTTTATTAATTTCAACTCCGAGTATTCGTTCCCTTGTTTAATTCTGAAGGTTCGATGATTCAAATATGATTCCAATAGCCGTGCATACTGCAATGGAAAGAATACCTTTAGTTTCTTGATGAGGCCATCATGCCAAACTTTATCAAACGCCTGGGCGACGTCTGAAAAAACGGCGGAGCATATCTTCTTATTTTCTAGGCATTCTTCTATTACTTCTGTTATTCTATGTACTTGATCGACTGTAGAATGTTTATTGCGAAAGCCAAACTGATGGTCAGGAACCATCTGTTCCTCATCAATTATTTTCTTCAGCCTTCTATGAAAAAGTTTCTCAAATAATTTTGATAACACAGGCAGAAGGGAAATGGGCCTGTAAGATTTAGCTTCGTTTACAGTTTTGCCGGGCTTTGGCATCATAATTACATCTGCCGTTTTCCACAACATAGGAACGTGTTTTAAGCACTAAGACTAATAACACGAATAAGACACCCCCAAAACCCACTGCACAACCCTTCCAACCAACTACTATACGAACCCACAAACATGACAAACATTTCGGAAAGACTCATACAGTTACAGCCAAAATGGACAAACAATGCCCACAACTGGACCATACTAAATCCCCTTTGCCTAACAAGACAGACAAAACATTTCCGTTTTCGTACCCCAACAGATACTTTACTAGAACACCTACAAACGCAACTGAACTAACGATTAATCCCTGTTTGCTTTGTAAGGCAATAATTTTTTTATATCACTGATTAGTTTATACGAGTGTTAGGAATACGAATTAATTTAGAATAAGCGAGGCTAAGACACAAACGCAACTGAGCTAAGACCTGTTTGTTTTGAAAGGCAAGAATTTTTTTATCACCGATTAGTTTATACGAGTGTTAGGAATAGGAATTAATTTTAGAATAAGCTAGGCTAAGACACATATGTACTACACAAGGGCAGAAAGACCGATTGGGTCGATAGCCTTTTTCTGTAGGAAATAAAGATTGTTTATATATTATATATATATATATGCCTGGAGACAATTACGCCTATAGAACGTCTAAAATTTTCTAAATTCAAACACAGATGAAATAATCATAATATGTTAATATAGAAAAATAAGTCTTATTGTTACTTATTCAAATCCATAGTGAAGAGCGTTTAGCCGAAGAAATATTAAGGAAAAGAAAGTATGGAAAGATAACATTCCATTCCGTGATAACATTTTGCGTACCTAGCAAGGAAATGGAATATGATATCGCACAGATATGAAACTAGGTGAACAAATATAAAACATGTTGGTCCGTAGTTAAGACGATTTATCAGTTTAGTGTGCACCTTCAAAATTGATTAGAAAATCATGTTTAGAGTGTTTAGTTCTTTTAATTTAGTTAGTTTTACTTTTATAAGAGTTAACACGTAACCATTGGTCCCTCTCAATAAGCAGTAAGCTTCTCAAGAGCTCATATTAAAAATCCATTTTCAAAAATTCCTACCTACCTCTTTTAGGGAACAATTTTTGATGAAACAATTTATTGTAAATCCAGTAGTTTGCAAACAATCTATATGGAAAATGTAATATTAAAGCCTACATAAAAAAACCATTTGAAAGTTTAAGTAATAAGTTTTATGGCTTTATTTAAACAGTTAATGCTTTCAGCTTCAGGTAATTAAAGTAATAATTAAGTGGAATCCTTAGGGCTATACATATTTGCTGTTTTGAAAAGGCTGTCATATCTAAATTTATCCCTTTAGACATAATTTACCAAGAGAAATCTTGTTTATTTTCACTCGGAAAACATTTGCGCAGTCAGAAAAGCGTCCCCCCGGACTAGTCCTCAACGCCTTTTGTTGGATGATTTTACCTAACCGCTTAAGAGTAACACGACAAATTGTTCTACCTTCAACTATTTTTCTTATACTAAAGAACACATTCCTAACCGCCAGTCTATTTTTGGATAACAAATTTCCTACTTCCAGAAAAATGTATTCGAAAATAGTCTAGTTTAGATTTTTGATAAACTTGTATTGAACTTCTCACATTTATTGCTGCTCTTACTACTACTTACCTACTTTCCATCCGCAACATTGTATTTTAAGAACTCAATCAAGCTAAAGGAGAGTGAAAAGAAAAGTTATAAGAACAGACCTTCCAACACAATCAAGTTGGGTGTTTTTTCTTAAAAGTTATTAAACGTGAATTTTGGAAAATTGGATAAAATGTTGTTTTTGTAATTCAATAAATTAAACTAATCGTATTAATCTGTCACTAAGGCTTGAATCGATATTAATGAAGCAGTGCAGGGCAACTCAATGTGCTAACTTTCATAAGAGAGTTGTCGAAAATATTTGGTGGAAACTTCTCCCAAACATAGCGTGCGGGTGGTTTAGAAGAATGTGTAAAGCAGATTACTAAAAAAAATTTTCAATATCAAAAAAAGGGATCGAAAGTTATCAGATTTGTTTGTAAAATCACGTTTTACTGGCTGTGACGTAGAGTGGCAAAAATCATATGCTTGCTATATGCCCATAACCAGCAGAATGTACACTTGCATATTGGATAGGAGCGAGCTAAGCGTCTTTAAGACATTAACATTTAAGGCATAATAAATAAAATTTACTAGAAAAAAAAATTATTAAAAATTATGGTATTAGCTTTCTTGTAATCTGACCATGTAAAAGCTTGTTTGACTGGATCTTTCCGGCTTCTGAATTTCAATTTCTAAACAATCGATTATGGCTTAAACTTTACTATAATGTGCACGAAAAGGTATGGATAGACGTTTTTTAACTTTATTAGATGGTATTCAGACTATTAAAGTCTTTAACATCTTGCTAATTAATGGAAGGTATTTTGCAAAAATTTTACTCGCTGTACTTGCCGAAAATCCAAATTCATCATTTAGTTCCACAAGAACTAGCTAAATATTTACAAAATCCAATTTTTTTGTATCTCTAAGTAGCTTAATTATAAATAAAGCGTCTTTATTTATACCTAGGTATAACTTGGATTATTTTCAATTTTGATAAAAGTGTGCTTCAATGCAAATTGAACACTGTCTGTGTTCCTCATTGGTATCATTGTTATTAAATTTTGAGCTGCGTTCTAAATTTGAAATGAGTGAACTCTCAGACAAACTACCTGATAAAACTGATACGTTCTCTGATATTTCACTTGTTAAACTTGACTCTGATGAGGAGTATAGCTGTTTGGTGGCAATACTAGTAGTTGAGCACTTAACAGGCGAACACCTCTGACAAACTGTAGCTGGGCGAATGTTACATTGAGATGACTTGCTTCTATACTTCGGTCTTAAATTTACTTGTATGGCTACTGATGTTCCCCTACAAGCAAAGTTTTCGGTTCTTGTAACATCTTTTACTTGTTCCTGTTCGTGAAATGTCTTCTCTTCAGATTTTACGTCATGCATTTTAGATGTACTAGGTCTGTATGCATCTAAAGTGTCATTTATAAGGTTAAGTCTATTACGTTTCAAAACTACGGCTCGTACAGGAGCGTCACTACTTCGTTTTCTGTCTTTTGGGCACGCAAATTTAAGTGGTACAAGATCGTTTTTCAATTTTTTCTGTACCCCATGATTTTCCACTCCATAAAATTTTCCATGTCTTTTTCAAGCTGTGAAATAAAATAAACAAAAATTGCACATAATGAAACAACGGTGAACCCTAAATCTAACGAACCACAGGGTAAGTACATCGAAATGATCCTCACAGGCATAAATATTACTTTGTGCAGAAATATCGGTGCAGTTTCGCCGCACTGCTTTCAACCACAATTTCTGTTTATTTTCGTTTAATGGCACTTTTACAAATATTTTTCCTGGTGTGGACGAAGTGGTACTTGTACACTTTTTTTACTTTCAATTTTACCATTTTACTTTCAATAATTGAGAAACAAACAAACCAACACACAATATTCACATTAGAGCATGGAAACACGTATAAGCGCTGAATGTGGCGGAGCAGAATCATGCTTTGTGACGTCACATTACGATCAGCCAAAACTCGTCGCTTTGTGTAAGTTTAAACTTTGATTGCTTCTAGATTTGTTACTAGACAGAATTTGAAAAAAAATGTAGGGCTCTTATTTGTTCGTCATTAATCAATTTTATGTAAGAAAAAAAATGTGCAACGACCCAATTTAGTGACAACAGTTAACTAAATTTATAAAGAAGTACTCGATTTTATAATCCATACTGTTAGTTGAATTTCAGGTTTCCCATAAGTAATGGTAAACACACAACTTAGGTTAGAATAAAAGTTAACGGAACAGAAATGCAAAGGGTCAAAGTTCTTTTTTAATCGTCTTTTTCAACTAAATCACAAATGACTTTAGGGAGTTTTGCACTAACATTAGGTATTCGGGGGTTTACGTAAGTGGTAGATTTGATTAACAAGTCAGTTTTCAGCGCGCTGCTAGAGGGCACTACTTGCAGAAAATGTCAAGCAAGTCATCAAATGAGTGATTTTCTAAGGAAAACGGCAATATCCAGTTGGTATCTAAGATCAACCATAATATTTTGAGGTACTTGCTATTAAAGTAGCCAGTGCGATACATTTAAGCTTATAAGTACGTAATAAGTGCGTATGCTGTGATGCTTTCCAATTAGTTGACCATTTCATTGTGATGACATACTTTTCACTTTCGTTTTTTTGCGCTGTACTGTACAATATTCAAAATTTATTGAATTTAGTCTCACAATTCATTCGGTTCAATTATTCTGAAACAGGAAAGATTATAGTTTTTCAATATACATAAATGGAAACGTTATAATTTTAAGTAATCAAAYATCAAACTCAATTATTGCTAACATGAATTACTCAAATAGTRGGTATAAAATGTGAAATAAGGACACCAAAATGTTTACAAAATAAAATAACGCAACTACAAAAACTAAATAACTACGCAGTATATCTTTTACTCCATTCAATACAGTACATCGGCATTTAGAATAATTTATTTATTGTTCGTATTGCGTTTATTTTCTTGCCTATAATTAACAAAATCACGCGCGACGAGAACGGAGCCCCAGCTTATTTCTCCCTGCAAATTAACAATTACTCAAATGCAACTTCTACAGCAAAATGCTGTAGAGACATTTAAGTATAAACATGTAATTTAATTTTTATTAATAGATCCGTCAATGATAATGTATTGTAGTCAATGGACGTAGTTTTGAAGAACTTTTGTCAAAAGCTGATCAGCTCTTTTATTAGAATTATTGAGTTAATTTATCGTAGTTTAAATGAAATTATTATTGTCCATTAAACAGCTAGACCGAATACACATTCGAGTATGTAACCCTATACAACTGAATTAGACTTCAACCCTTGCTGGACAGATGGAACAGTAGAGATTTGAAACAGGAGAGACACAAAACAGCAGATATTATAAATGGCTTAATACACAAAATACAGATAATAAAACAACGTACAAACGAGAACAGTTTAAAAACATGACAAAGAAGAATAAAAACGACATTTTGAAAAGGAAATTTAAAAAGACAGACAATTCCCAACCCCTCAGAACATACCTTTCAAGTCAATGGGGGACACAAAAACACATAAAATACATTCAGGAACTATTTACTAGATACACGAATGGAAAAGTAATACCTCTAGTGAGGAAATAGCCTGCATTACTCCCTCCACAAGAAGGGAAGTAAAGATGACTGTTCCAACTATAGGTGTCTCTCCGTTACCAGCACTATGAAAAAATCTCTATGGAAAAGCCATCCAAAGTTTAATTGAAGAAGAATATGAACACCAAGAAGTTGAGGAACAAGCAGGTTTTTGAGAAAGTCGATCATGCATAGATCATATCTTCAGTCTGACCCAACTAACCGAGAAGAAAGTAGCAAGAAACGAAGAGGTATACCTTCTGTTTGTGGATCGTCTGACATCGACATTGAGACAAGGGTGCTGTTTGTCACCCACATTATTTAAGATATACCTCAATAAAGCACTTGGGAAGTGGAGAAGAGCATGCAGCGGAATGGAAATAATCATTAATCAAGATACAACTTCGTATACTTCGCATTTTGCAGATCACCAGGTTATTATAGCGCAGGACGAGGAGAACTCGGAATTAGTGACAAAAATACTATTTAAAGAATACGAAGAATGAGGACTGTCGGTGAATCGACCGAAAGCAAAATCTTTGTGCATTGAAAACTACGGACGTGACATAGGCCTAGAAAAAGACGAAGCAATAAGAACGTGCATCGAATATGTATACCTTAGAACAAAAATTGAGACTGCAGACCGTACAGATAAAGAAATAGAGCAACAAGGGGCGAAACTGATCGGCTGTCTAAACTCCGTTCTATGGTCAACATATATATCCCGAGAAAAGAAACGCACCCTATACAACTCCACATTTAAAAACATAGTACTCTATGGATGCGAAACTTGGGAACTTACTACCCACCAAGAGCGGAGGTTGCGTTCACTGGAGATGGACTTCTGGCGTAGAGCCGCAAGGAAATCAAAGTTGGAGAGAAGAAAACTGGAAGAAGAATAATATATATCACAAACGTCAAAATAGACATAATAGAGGAAATCCAACGAAGACGTCGATATGGTACGGGCATGTTGAAAGGATGGATGACACAAGAATTCCGAAACAAATCCTTAGATGGACACCAAATGAGAGAAAAGGAAGACTCAAGTCAACATGGATGGATGAAATATAAAATGCCACGTCCGAACGAAACCTATAATCAGGCCAGCGGGAGACAGAAAAGAATGGAAGCGACGAACCGGAAGGCGCAGGACATCAGATAAAATAATAAGAATATATATTTTGGGTGTTCCTCACTTCACATCTATCTGCGTAAAACAAACTGAGCATGTAAACGGCAGATTTTTGCCAGTTCGTGCAGATGGTTTGACCGTCTAAACTCACTTTTTAGGGATCACGTAACTGGACCGCCCCGCCCACCCACTGCTGTTCAAAATGATGATCTAAATACGGGCGGACTTCACCAAACAAAATGTGCAGGCTACCGCCACTTTTGCTGTCGAACATTTAATTTGACATTTTAAAGAAGCAGGAGCTCTTGTAGAAAATGCGCATATTTAAGCCCAGTTAAGCGATTAGCCCAGCAGCAGATATGGACCAACCAAATGGCCATCAACCATACCAGTCTTCATGCTAGTAAACCAAATTTGCGGATTAATTCTAGTACGTCTCACTACTCATCGGGCGTGATCTTTCGTGGGCCCAAACACGCTGCTTCTACTGTTTAATTTGTCCAAAAGCAAAAACTGTCCGAGAACTTTGATTCATTTTCCTGACTGCGTGTAATTGTTATTATATTCTTTTCCTTCTTGAGTTTCAGTCAAAGTGTAAAATAAAAATTATCCTATCGTTTATTTCATATAAACTTTCGGCGAGACAGCGCCATCATCAGCTTTAAAATTCAGCATTCGTTTATGTCTTGGCTGTCTGGAAACCTCAAATTTGTTTGAATTATTATCTACATGAAACGTAAACAATAATTCAAACAAATTTCCAAATGTAGACAATAATTCAAACAAATTTGAGGTTACAAGACATCCGAAACCTAAAAAATATAATGTTTCCAAATTATGAGTCTGTGTTGAATTTTAAATCTGATGATGGAGCTGTTGTCTCGTTGAAACGTTATATGAACTAAACGATATGAAAATTTTTGTTTCACCCTTTGCCTGAAGTAGAAGAGAATATAATAACTGTCCAAGAAGCAAAACGTAAAAAAATGGGTGCTGTGTTATTGTAAGCAAACTAATTATAATTAAATTAATTAAAACTGAAGAGGCCACAATTTTCCACATAGAAGTCTTCAAGATTCATTAATCCGCTGCTCTATTTTTTATTGAACTAAACAATCCCTAGATATTTTATTCCATAATTCTGAATCATTTTATATATATCTTAAATTTATGAATTCCTTCGAGTCTCATCAACGAAATGGATTTGTCAGTTTGCAAGTGATTAGAAAATTCGACTCCGTATAGAAATGCGTACAGTTTGCATTAAAGCTCCAAAGTCGATAATTCCCTATTGAAACTTCAAGCCCCAACCCCATAACCACACATTACGCTTATACAGGAATGTGTTGAGAATGTGAGGAGGCCCCGTGAAGCGTATAATGTACACATCACTTCTCAATTTGCCTTTTTATTAAATTACTTCAAGCCGAGGGGCGCCATTTTGAGCAGATCCCGGGGTGGATTAACGGTAATCTGCATGAAGGGTGACAGGCTATTTTGCGGTTTTAAAGTGCCTGGTTATCAAGTGTGGTAAAATGTGATGGAGTTGTGAATATACGAATTGTTAATGGTGGGATCAGGCCGATTAATATTATTAAACCGGTTTGATTATGTGTTTATTGACGCTACAAACGTGGGTCATCTCAATTATGACTGTTCATTATAGGGCCGCTGAGCAACGTTTAACTTTTCGCCTTTGATTTCACGTTGTAATACGTCGTTCGAAATCACATTTTTGCGCTTCATTATTAGCGCTCAAATCTATCAATATAAGTTTTCTAAACTGTTCATAGCTTTAATTTCATATAAAAATACTTATATTTAGAAAGGCAGCCTTAGAAAAAAGTTATCATCATGAGTATTAAAACTTTGTTGTCAAAATATCAAGCTAAAGTTTGGAAATACAAACATGCATTGAAATAAATGTACTATTTTGAGTTTTTCATCTAAATTCCTATTCACAAAATACCTTAGAATAACCAAAGAATAGAAAGAAGACCGAAACCGGCCGAGAAACTCACCGGGTGACACTGAGGGTTCCAAGCCCGAAGAAAGGAGTAGGGTTTCTAGGGTAAAAAGCAACCGAGCTCACACAAGCCGAAACATGTCTCGGAATTGCACGGACTCAAAAAGAACAACCCCTGCGAGAAAACTAGCTACGAATTGGACGAAGAACAAACTGAGAATTGCCACCTGGATTGTCATGTCCAAGACAACAAAACATGGAGAGGTAATTAATAAATGAAAAGAAAACTCGATAAATTCATTTTTTTACAGGGTGATTCAAAATTCAGGGCGTCATTCCTCTGGAGGTGTTGGGGAATGAGGGTATGGGGGTGTCTTGGGAGTACAGGAAAAATAGTAATTTTTTTTATTGCCATTAAAAACTCAGATATTTGCAAAAACTAGATCAGAATAATGGCAACAATATACCTGTTCCCTCGTAATTATTAAAATTTCCGGTAACCATAGATAAACATGAAGCGAATAAAATAAAAGAGACAATAACATGCGTTGAGGTTAGGATAACTGTGTCACCTTGCGGTCAGTGCTGCGACAGAACATCCCCCCGAGTGTTGCCATCTTTTTGGTGCAAATGTTGCCAGTAGCCTGGGCTCATATTTTTAACAACTTCTTGTGTTCGGTTAACTAACGGCTGCTGCTGCTTAATTTGAACGGGGGTTCGGAAAATCAGATATTTAATATTGTACCATGGATGGCCGAGTATCAAACTCTTTCTTCAACTTCTAACTTTTATTCACCTCGGTATAACTTTAAATGCCGAACAGGAACAAACTAACTTCAAAATTACCGTCAACTTCACAAACAATAACAATAACCGACGGAAAACTCGCTCTTCTGACTCGCGGGGTTTAACCTCTTCTGCACCCGGTCGTTGCTGTCACTTCACTTTTTCTGTCTTGTTCTCCTCGTCGCTTATATAGATTCCTTCAGGTAACCCAGATGGTTCTCGAAATCTCCAGAACAGGTGCGAAACTTCCCGCTTGTCAGTGTCATATTTGACA